TCTTTCCTTTAAAGACATTTAACCTTTGCCACATTGGCAGGAAAGTAGAACATTGAAGGAGGTGCCCCTACACAGTTGAACAGTCTCGCGCTCCAGTATAGCGGCGCTAACTACCCGCGATCGCGTCGCGCGCTGTGCCTAGAGCGCGCTAGTTGGAAAAATCGTCAAATGTACCCCCTATTCAAAGGACTATAACTTTCTTCATTGATAACCATTTCAAAAAGTGAAGGCAGCTTTTGAATGCACAAGACTTAGTTTCTAAATTGTGCTGAGCGTTTTTCTAAGCACACCTATTCTCGAGAGTGGGAGACGTCGAGAAATTGTCGAGGAAATTGAAATTTACATGCGAGTTCCCACTCTTTGGAAGACAGTAGCTGTCTTCATTGGCAATGCTTTGAAAATCGGAGGAAAGCGTTGTAAAGTAGAAGATTTACGCTTTCTGATAGGTGCTCCAGTTGTTTCGAACGCTTTCTAGTTCGCGAGAAATCTGCGTCGAGGAAATGTCAAGGAAATTTTCGAAGCCACTCGAAAACTCTATTACTCCCTCGCCGTAGTAGGGAACTTCTTTGAACACCTTCAAAATACTTCTGTACACGTCAGTTCGATGGAGTAAATTGAAAATGATGCACTTGGCGCGGATCCATTCCGTTCTTGTATGCGCCATGCAGTGACCCCACTCGGAGTCATTGGGAAGGTGGTTTGTCTGACCCCACTCGGAGTCATTGGGAAGGTGTTTGTCTTAGTGACGACTTGCTTAAGCACACCAAAAGATATTTCCAGTATTAACTAATTAGGATAACTCTTGTGGTCATAGTGATGTCTGATCATTCCTTTATTCAAATCGCTTCCTTTCCAACCCGTTCTGATGAATGACACGCTTGCGGTTGCAGGATCTGATGATGCCAAGAAGGCTGCGAATCTGCCTGTTTTGAACTTTCTACCAAGATGCTGTTCCTCCACTAAGTTCTCGAAGCATGTACATCATTCTAGAGTAGATACTCGCTGCCCTTTCCCTACGATTCTTTTGCAGGACGCGTTGCCTTCCTATGCCACACTGATCACTACGAACCAAACCAACAACCACTTTCCATTTGAATTTTAATTCCAGACAGGTGTAGATATTATTTGCATTAGGCTAACTACAACACTTGTGAAGTAATGATGACGGCAAGTAAGGGGTGCGGGACTTTTGGTGCGTCCGGGTTGCACGCGGCAAATCGCGCGGCGGGCTGCGCGGCGATCCGGACGAGGCAAGTCTTCGCGGGCTTCTGCGGTGGAATCCAACACGTCAGAACGTGTGCAGATCGCGGATAGAATCCACAAGGTTCTGCGATTCGAATTACATTCCAACGTGGATAACGGCGGTAGAAAAGGAATAGCAAAAGGCTGTTATAGCAATCAGGGCGCTTAGGTTGCTGGCGCTTGTTGTTAAGGGGGGGGGAATCCCATGAGCGGAGAGATTCAACCAATTATTGTGTTTGGGACTAAGCCTGAGGGGAAGAGTTTCTCGTGGAGGATGTGAGCAATTTCTGTTCTCCCGAGCGTATTTCCCTTCTCATGAGCTTAGTTCTAGTGTCACCTTCCATTGGCCCTGTTTTGAAAGTTCTCCCCAAGGACAGGAGCGCCGCGATTAGCAAAGATATAGTTGACAATAAATAACATCTCACTAAATGACTCCATTTTTAGTGCTTCTTTCGCATATTTATAATATGATAATAGTGACATTCTCGTACATGGGTTCTACCTTGTCGTGGTGTACGGGCTTGAGGCGAGGCCGGAAACCCGCAAGGGTAAGGTCCCGCCGAACCTTCTGACCGGCTCTCGTGACCAAAGAACCCGAAGTGCTCAAGCTCATGGTGGGACGGCGCCTTCCTTGAGCGACAGGAACGCCCCAGCAAGGCTATCCTGTGAGACGAAAATGCTACGACCACTTCTACCACTCGCCTTAGTCCCCTGCAGACTGTTCCCTGCCCAGTCCGGTAGCGCTGGATCAGCACACAGTCGAAGGCGAAGAAATCTCAGGGCCGTAGGCTTACTACTTAGATACTTAGATGGCTCGTCTTCACTCCATGTGCGAGCCACCGCACAGATTCCATTCGTTTCGTCCTCTCGCTACCGTCATCCACGATACCTTTCTTCCTTGACGGCCACGAGTTTCCATAGCGGACTTCAGAACGTTAACGAACACGTCGGCCCATCTAATAGGTGGTCTCCCTAGAGGACGCTTGTGGTCTCTAGGGATCCACTCTATTGTCCTTCTCGTCCACCTGTCGTCAGTTCTCCTCATGATATGTCCGGCCCACCTGTGTTTTGCCTTGTAAGCGTATTCCACAGGATCTCTGAGTCGAGACATCACCCTCATATCTGAACTACGAAGTCCTGCTCGATGTTGTGAGCGCCTGTTGTATTTTAGAAGACACCTCTCTAACGCTCTGTGCGTTACTCGAAGCGTATTCGTGGTGGCATTCGTATCGGCCCACGTTTCTGCAGCGTAACAGAGCGCAGGAAGCACTGTTTGATCAAAGAGATGGGCTCGCAGGTCTACATCTGAAAGATGGTCAGTGGCCTCTCTGATAGACCCGAATGCAGACCAGCCCGCTCTCTTTCTCCTGTCCAGTTCCTCCTTGAGATCATTGTTCATGTTTATCGAGCGTCCTAGGTACACGTACGAATTGGTTTCCAGTATCTGCAAACCATTTATCGTCATGTGATGTTCTTCGCACCAGGAGTTCTTCATAAACTGTGTCTTCTTCCGATTGATTCGTAGTCCAATTCTACTTCCAGCTTCGTTAAGTTCGTTGAGCATCGTCTCTGCTTCAGTGATAGAATTCGAAAATAAGACGATGTCGTCTGCAAATCGAAGGTTGGATAGGAATTTTCCATCCACTCGTATGCCCCTCTCGTCCCAGTCGAGCGACTTCATGATCCACTGCAACGCCGCGGTAAACAGCTTCGGCGAGATAGTATCGCCCTGCCTGACGCCCTTCTCGATGGGGATGGTTAAAGGACGGTCAAACAGTTGTAGCGTCGTTGAGCAGTGTCTGTAACAGTCAGCTAAGATGTTAACATAGGATGACTCCACTCCTTGGTCGACCAGCGCTGACAGGATGGCGTTCGTTTCGACGCTGTCAAAGGCTTTCTCGTAGTCGACAAAGGTCAGAACGAGAGGCATATGGTATTCACGACAGACCTCTATTACTCTCACGACAGTCTGGATGTGGTCCATGCAGCTGAATCCCTTGCGGAACCCAGCTTGCTCTACTGGTTGCGCTTCATCCAGTGTACTCGAGATGCGCGTTAGAATGATCTTCGTAAAGAGCTTGTAGAGCACGCTCAACAAGCTGATTGGTCGGTAATTACGAAGATCTTCTCTGTCACCCTTCTTGAATAGAATGACAGTGCGCGAAGTTCTCCACTGGTCCGGAATCCTTCCCTTTCGAAGATAGGACGTCATATGGGCTGCCAAAATGGCATGAAGTGAGTGTTTCCCTGCTCTAAGGAAGTCGACCGAGATCTTATCGGGTCCGGGAGCAGTTCCCTTCTTCATGCTGTCGATGGCAACTCGGACTTCTGAGGTAAGGATCGTAGGTGGTCGGGGGGCAGTGGGGATAACAGGGTCTGGTACGGGTGTGGAGGAGCGGAATAGACTTGTGTAGAACGTTTCCGCTATAGATTCCATCTCCTTTCTAGAAGTAGTGAGGGTTCCGTCCTCTCTCAGGAGAGCAGAAAGTGGTACGCGATGATCGGTGAGGTCCCGCTTGCACTTCTTTATACTTGATCTTCCTTGTGCAGCTTCGAGGATTTTTCTTTGCCTGAACTGTCGTATGTCCTCCTGCAGCGCTATTTCTGCAACTGGTGTCAGCAATCAGTCGCTCGAGGTGGGTTGCATTCGGATCAAGTCGCAGGCTCCTTCGCTTACTCAAGAGTTCTCTCGTTGACGTCGAGATGCGTTCGGAGCTCCTTCGCTGAGTAAGAGAAGCCGCATCAGCACAGGCTTGAAGTCCCTCGAGTAGCAATTCGTAATCCTTCGTTGGGTCCTCATCGATCCGCCACAAGTGTTGGGAAAGGCACTCGTTCAAGATGTTCTCATCGTACACGACCGATCTTCTTGTCTTCGGGCGGTGCAAGGCTCGTTTTTCAAGCCTGGTAGATAGACGAATTTTCGCCCGAAGAAGCCGATGATCAGATCCGGTACAGAAAGATGGCACTACAGCGACATCACAAAGGCACCGTCTCCTGTTCGTAATAATGTGATCGATCTCGGCACGTGTCGTGCCGTTGGGTGATTCCCATGTCCAGCGGCGATGTTCCTTCTTCTCGAACAAAGAGTTACCGTGGAAGAGACGAGTCGCGGACATGAGCCCAGCAAGCCGATTTCCGTTTTCGTTCCTTTCGCCAATCCCAAACTGGCCAATCCTGTCTTCTTTTTCTTCCACCTTACCGATCCTCGCATTGAAGTCTCCGACAATGAATTTATAGAAGGACTTCTCGGTGCGGATGACTTCCTCCAGCTGATCGTAGAATGCGTCTAATTCGGAATCATCAGCGCCCATGTGTGGTGAATAGCAGCTGATGATACAGATGGACTTTTGACGCCGCGGCTGAAGACGGAGGATGGCAAGGCGAGGAGAGAGGATTTCGTAGGAGTCAACGTGTTGGACGACAGATGGGTGAACGACGAACCCGACGCCACCGATGTTTCGCGATGGAAACTTCTCACCACGAATGACAAGAGTTCCATCGAAGAAATGTCGTATATCGGTCTTCTTACACTTCGTTTCCTGGAGCGCGATTACGTTGTACTTGATTCGACTCGCGGCATCAAGCAGGCAACGAAGGTCGGCATCACTGGAGACAGTTCTCGCGTTGTAAGTGCAAATTCTGAGGCAATCTCCATGTCGTGTTCTCGTGTCGTCTTCGTCCAGAGTCCATGACGTTCTACGCAACCCGAGATTGTGCAGCCTCTCGCCGGTCGTCGTACCGCCCAACGTCGGAGGCGGCAGAGCCCAGCGTGCGGGGTACTGAGGCTTTCTTCTTGCGGTTTGAGCTTGAAATTCTCCACTCTAGGATAGCGTAGCTAGCGCGTTCCTATACCTGCACCATAGGCGTCGCTTACCTTAAAGGTCAGAGGAGAGTCCACCTAGCGACAATCGCGATCGGGCCGGTGGTACCCGATAGGATATCCGATGTTCTTGATTGGACAAGGGTTTTTGAGGCGACCCTTAACCGCCTTTTTGCATTCCTATCATCGACTTTTGCAAGCTTTTGGGTAACCAGATACAAACCATCCGTAGCTGATCCTCACCGCAGGATACTTAGCCTACGACGCCTCACAGCCATTTCAGGAATGAACCAAGTTACCACTGCGGAGACAAGGAGTCCATCCCCTGAAACCACCTGCATCTCAAGGAACGCGCAGTCCGCTCTCGGCCTCCCTTCCGGAGCATGCTCCAGAGGTGAGTTGCCCGGGTGACCCCACGGGGAGGGGCCGTAGGCTACCGTAGGAAAAGGACAAGAATGAGCCATCTGATTACATGCACTTACAATTGCAGGAGCGTCAGTACGGCCATTCAGCTCTCAACCTTAATTGAAGAAACGCAACGAATTTCATATCATGTGATCGGGCTGAGCGAAACGAAGCGGAAAGAGCCCTTGACGTGCATATGGAGCGATGGAACCGCTGTCTTTCTCGGAGCTAGAGAATCAGGAACGACATCAGGAGGAGTCGGATTTATAGTGGCACCTGGATTCACAAAAAATGTCACGAGTGTCACGTTTCACAGTCATCGATTCGGAATCTTGACCGCAACTCTAACGAAGGACATCAGCGTCTCTATCATTCAGGTGTACGCCCCAACGAGTGACAGTAACGAAGATCAACATGAGGACTTTTACGATGACCTTGGCGAGCTAGTTCGATCACAGAAAAGCAGTTATGTGGTGGTATCTGGAGACTTTAATGCACGAGTTGGGTCAAGAAGACCAGAAGAACATTTCATTGGACCACACAGTGCAGAACAACGAAACGCAGCTGGAGAAAGGCTGGCAAACTTCTGCGAGATATACCACATGTATCACGGGAATAGTCAGTTCGTTAAAGCAGTAAGGAAAAGATGGACATATGAGTCCCCGAATGGGCAGCATTACCACGAACTCGACCATATCCTATGCAGCAGAAGGGCCATCACAGATGTTGGAGTAGTCCCATCATTCAATACCGGAAGCGATCATCGACTTCTACGCGCAAGACTGCACTTCGAACGAAGTCATGTGCGCCTGACACGTATACGATCAAGACAACCGCGGGCGACTATTCTTGATGCAGATGCGCTAAAGGCGATGGTAGACGACGTATCCTTGGATATGAAAAACAACATAAATGAGGACTATGACCATCTACTAAACACAATCTCCACGCTTGCTTCACAATCGCGCATCATGGCCCCCAACCACAACTCCCGTAGAATATCGGATACCACCCGGAATCTTCTAGCGCAGAGGAGACAAATGGACCGACATCAAAATCATGTTGAATACACATTGCTTAATCGGCTCTGCAGACAAAAACTCGCTGAAGACCACAGGAATTTCTACCGCTGCCGTCTATTGGAAGCCGCATCCAGCAAACGTAGCATGAAGAAAACAAAGCGAGAGATGGCACAATACCGCCTAACGATTTCTTGTCTGAAAGGCCCCGATGGATTAAGAACGACGTCTCGGCCTCAACCAATTGAACAGGCAGGATTTCGACGAAAGTTCAGCACTTTGGATCACATTATCACCTGCTGTAGAATTATTGAAGCTGCTCGAGAATATCACGAACCACTGATACTAACGTTCATTGACTATCGAAAGGCATTCGATTCAGTAGAGCGAGAAAAGATATGGTCAGCTCTCAATGAACAAGGCGTCGAACTCCGTTATACGAAAATCTTGAGTGAATGCTACTCTGGATGTAGCACAATATTTCGACCGTTCTTTCGTGATTTAGAGGTGACTGTGGAAAAAGGAGTCCGCCAAGGAGACCCCATTTCCCCGAATCTATTCTCTGCTTGCCTGGAGTCTACAATACGTAACTGCGATTGGCATGACACAGGAATTAAAATTGATGGAAGATATCTAAATCACCTAAGATTTGCCGATGACATAGTACTGATCTCAAGAACTTCAGAACAAGCTTCACAAATGCTCAGTGACCTACATGCAGCAGGAACAAAAGCCGGTTTGAACATCAACATGAATAAAACGAAGTGCATGAGGAATGAGTACTCAGACAGAGATCCTGTTTTCCTACAGGGTGAAGCTCTGGAAGATGTCGATGAATATGTTTATCTTGGCCGACTGCTTAACATGAAAAACGACCTAAAAGGCGAAATAGTAAGGAGGAAAAAAGCTGGCTGGGCAACGTACAATTCAGTCAGGAATGTGATCGAAAATACCAGAGACGAAGAACTGCGAGCAACCCTGTTCAACTCCACAGTACTACCAGCTCTGAGCTACGCTAGTGAAACTTGGTCCCTAACGAAAAATTCGGAAAACCAGTTAAGAAGGATACAAGCTTCACTTGAGCGTCGAATGGTTGGTGTAACCCTACATCAACAACGGATCGCCAGATTACACAACGAAGACATACGTTCGATGTCCAAAGTTCGCGATATCATTTCGCATATCGACAAGGCAAAACACACTTTTGCTGGACATCTTATTAGGCGAGACGACGGACGTTGGAGCACTACAACTGTGCGCTGGGAACCTCGCGACAGGAAACGACCTCGCGGTCGGCCCCCTCTGCGATGGCAAGACTCTCTTGCTCACAGAAACAATATTTGCGATTCTAATTCAATTAAGGTATTAGTCCATTGGACGACATTGGCTCAAGATAGAACATCGTGGAAAAGAAGTTGGGACCCGCGCAAGAACAATCGCTGATAACGGGTCGCCAAGTAATCCAAGTAAGTAATAGTGACATTTCTATGAAGTTTCTCTCTTTCATCTCCTTTCGCTGTAATCTTCTCACTGACACCGCTGCATTTCACCGATCTCCGCGAGTGGGAAGTTTCTTTCAAAGCAGAACCTTGTGGATTCTATCCGCGATCTGCACACGTTCTGACGTGTTGAATTCCACTGCAGGAGCCCGCGAAGACTTGCCTCGTCCGGATCGCCGCGCAGCCCGCCGCGCGATTCGCCGCGTGCAACCCCGGACGCACCAAAAGTCCGTCGCCCGCAAGTAAGTGGCAGCAGCACCGTTGTGTCCGTTGATGACCCTTTTGATTACGACCCCCTCCCAACTCTCATCGGAGCAAATACGACCCCCTGTCGAGGATTTCCTCGACCGTTATTCACCCGCGTCAGACTGCGTCCATTGAGGCACTGACCAAAGCAAAAGCCGGGAAGCTTCGCAAAGACATTGAGCAGGAGATGTCGAAAAGGGGTATGATGAAGGAGTAATGTGAATTGCAGAGAATGGAAGGGCATTGAATTTCCTGCATGATTCAATTGATGTTACAAAAATCCTCTCACCTCTGCAACAGGTTTGTCGTGGACCGGCGAAGCAGGTGCTATAATATTTTGCTCAGATTCGATACGCATTATTTTCGCCCCAGATGAAACGTAGGAGTCATACAGCGACCCTGTAGGTGTTGTGGTCATTTGTGAAAGTGCAGAAATTCCTAGCTCCTTCACAGGACGGATAGCCGAGTTAATCGATAGTGAATCCAAATCGTGTTTCCGCGTTGAACCACCATCATTCTGGGCTGAATTTCCAACCCAGCTCACTGGAGGGAGAGGTTCACGTGATGGTACAGTGATGTGATGGTTAGGTAGTGAAAAAACAGCATATTCCTCTGTTTTTCTTCCATCAGGTAAGAAGCGTGACGCTGAAAATAATCAGAAACAATCGAACTAAGTGCATAACTGTCAACGTCCAAAAAAGAAAATTCACGCATCTGTAGCTCTATACAATTCATACAACATTTTGAGCTCTTCCAGTAGGAAGTGAGGGGCTTCGGTGAAATATGTAATTTGTTGCTATCACAGTAATAATGAGTTGTGGGGTTTCGACATCCTCGATATAAACAATGGTGTCCATATTAGGTACCGGTGTATCTTATCGTTAGTGTCGTTTTTTCAACATGAGTTTCGGACCACCCAATATCCTTCTATTTTATAAAGCGCTAACTTTGTGTGTCGGTTTGTGTATCTGTATGTGTGTGTGTGTATGTATGTGTATGTATGTGTGTCCGTCCGCAAAATGAAGTGAGTGAGAAGGAAGCTCATGGGATAAACAAACCGCTAACAAATCGGGTAGCTTACAGGATTTGAGATATCAATGTTTTGTAGCAGGATAGTTGTGATAACACTCTTAGGGCTATATAAACACCTGCTTAGCACACTTCCGTTCATTCCACATGGTGCTGCAGTGGCAGCTGGAGGGCAGTGGAGAGAGGAAGGGAGGATGAGGAAGGGAAGCGAAAAATCTACCGTCATATCATGATTGTGTCCCTTCTACTGTATGAAACACCATTGTGTTGCATACGCGTCACTTCCAGGAGGTGTTGGTGTCACAGGAGGAAGGGACCATAGCGGAGGATAGAAAGCTTGCGCAGGAAAGGAAGGTCCCGGCGGTTGACGGGGGACTAATCTGGTTTAGTTCAGAATCTGGGGAATGAAACAGCATATTCATCGAATGACTCATTAGCACTTTCCCATTTACCAGTATGAGTGGAAACCTCGTACGATTAAAGCTAGGAATTTTTTGAGTCGAAAAAGAGAGGTAGGTCGGTTTTGACATCATCTGACAAATCATCCCTCTCACTTGCTAAAAAGTTAGGCCTGGACAAAAGAAGTATACAGTTAGTTAGAGTAGGGTCTGCACTGTATGGTGGAAAAGTTAAAACTTACCAGCTCAACTGGACAATTTTTCCCGGAGTCTTTTTTGCCACATAGGGTCAAAAACGCACCCTTTTTGAGCACACGTGAGTAGCAGATGAGCACATTTATTAGAATTTCTTGTGCAATCAACTTCGTTAAAGCGTTTGTGCATCATCGATCAGTCACTGCTAAGGTGTCCTACCATTTCAGCACAAGACTGGTGCAGCCCCGTCTCGACTGATTTAACTAGGGCCACCTTTTTGACGACGATTGCGGGCATCACTTCAAAGACTTCACTGTCTTTTGAGAAAACTGTGAAAAACCGATGAGCATTTTAAATGGTAGTATTCCCTCCAACAAATGCAATGTTGGTTTGGTGGGCGGAAGTTGTAGCTCTCAGCAAGAATTTTGAAGCATTTGGTACACACATGCGAATTTGCACACTGGACCCAGGAATTTTCAAAAAAAAAGTATAAAAATGGGGAAAGTTAAATTGTGAACCAACAATAGAAAACAATAAGCAACATATTTCGCAGTATTAATGCAGCAAAAAGGACTTTCTGAGATATTGATTTTCCATAGTAATCGGCCCCAAAACTTCCTGAACTCAGAAAAGCGACACTAAGATATCCGGTACCTAATAGTTTATAGTAATGTTATATGAGCATGACCGTAACGGCGCCCAGTGGGAACTCCTTCAGTTACAGTCTGCGTTCCTCAAAAGTATTAGGTCCTTTTAACACGTTGACGACATCGCGTTTTGGCATTTTGCACCGCGTGGGACAGGAGCGATTTTGCGAGCGCGCCGTCCTCACCTTACTTCCGCTTATTTTTTGTTTAAAATGCACAACAACTTGAATCTCATAGAATTATTTCGGCAAGGATGAAAGCATAAAGGTTAACTATATAAAGCAGTAGATTTTTGTTTAGAAGAACGCATAATGACCACGAAGAAGCAAAAACATCACTTTCGCTGCGAATGAAGTTAAAAGCATTTATACCTAAGTTCTTCCATCAAATACAAATATCTTGAAACTCACAGAGTTTTGTATTAACTGCTTCTACAATCTTTCATATGAATGTTTACGACAGTGAAAGGAATACTAGGAAAGAATTGAAATGAAAGTTTTGTGCGTTCAGAAAATCTTTGCTAAATCAAGGATATTTGACCACTCTGGCTGCCATGTGGTGGGTTATGCTAAGGTGCCTTCTATACTTACTTCTCGACCGCTATTCGTCCCGGGCACGCCAGAAACGCAGGTCGCACATCTTCCAGGTCGCTCTGCTTCGGGCTCTTCTGCGCCACAACTGGCCGTACATCTTCACGAGAGGGTCTGCCCATCTGGTGGGGGGTCTGCCTCTGGGCCTTGTTTTTCCCCTTGGGTACCAGTCAGTCACTCTCTTCGTCCAGCGATCATCGGTAAGTCTAGCCACATGACCGGCCCACCTTCGCTTGGAATTATAGATGGCATCGACGACGTCCTTCACCATCGTACGAGCGCGGATGGTGTCATTGGGTAAGCGGTCTCGGAGCGTTACCCCGCACATGGCCCTCTCCATGGCTCGCTGAGTGACTGCGAGTTTCTCCTCTTCAGAGACTGTGGTGCTCCACGTCTCCGCCCCGTAGGTCATCGCGGGAAGAACATGCGAGTTGAAGACGTGAGCTTTGACCAGTCCACGTGTTTCGCCCGCCCGCACCCGCCCGCCGGGTCTGACGGCCCCCCCTTCGCTTCCAAGTTAGTACATATCCGAAGTTTAAATTGAATGCGGTCGCAGCCCCACGCCTTCCCTCGCGGTCTGTTGGCTACTCTCCGAGCGTTCCTTGAATCGTTATTCGCATGTTGACGCGCTTTACCGGACATTACCGTAGAGGAACTCGCCCCTCGACTCCTCCTGGCCTTCCTTAGGAGGATCGGCTGGTACTCTGAACTTTGTTCGTTGTGCATCCACTGAGTCTTGCCGGGATGAATTTGTAGTCCGATTTTGCCGGCTTCCTGCCTGATGAGGCTCAGGGATTGCGCAATGTCGGCGGGGTCCTCGCCTATCAGAACACAGTCATCAGCGAAGAGGAGATGCGTTAAGCGAACGCCGTCGATGTTCACTCCTCCGGGCAACGAGATTCGCCTCATGATGTTCTCGAGCGCAATAGCGAACAAGTTCGGGGACGTAACCTCGCCTTGTCTGACGCCGCGCCGGATTTGAACACGGACCGGTGTTTTTATGAGTTTGATATCGGTATAACAGTCCGTGTTGCACTGCCGCGTGATTCTAATATAGGGCTCGGGGATACCGCACTCGCGCATGGCGTTGTATACACTCTCATGCTCCACTGTGTCGAAGGCCTTTTTGAAATCGATAAACAGAAGACACAGTGGGGTGCGGTACTCGCGGCAACGTTCCGTCAGCTGTGATATTACATGAATATGGTCAATAGTGGAGAAGCATGAACGGAACCCGGCTTGTTCTACACTCATGTATTCGTCGATGCAACGGCGTATTCTGTTGAGGACAAGGCGGGAGAAGACCTTCAACACCTGGGACAGGAGACATATTGGGCGGAAGTTGTTAAGATCGTGCTGCGGTCCTTTCTTGTGAATGAGCAGCGTAGTAGAGCCCCTCCAAGCGCTCGGGATTTACTCCTTCGCGCAATATGCGGTCGAACAACACGCGGAGAGGTCCCCCATCATCTCCTCCCCACGCAAGGCCAGAGACTCCTCCACTACTCACACGATCGTTTCCCGTGCCCTGCCCTTTCCTTCATCTGGCCCCAGACCGCAGCTAGCACCCTCTGCCTCGTAGATCCGGTGAATTAGCTTCGTCTTGATCCTCACAGTCGTCGTTTTCTCGTTGGGCTCCCACCTTTAGCCTGACTGTCCAAACCCAGGTTGCTGTAAAAAGTTGCAAATCAGCTCGGCCATCTCCTCTTGGCTGTATGTTACGGTACCGTCAGGCCTGGCCAGAGAATCGGGGCAAGTGGTCTTCAGTCTGATCTCCCGATAGGCCCTTTTGACGCTTGTCAATTCTTCGGCTGCTTCGCATGCTCTGCGGGCGGCGTATTCCTTGTAATCATGCTCTACCCGGGCACGGATTTCTCTTTATAAGGACGGTTTTTTCGATGTGCAGCCCTCATACTCAAGCCAACACTTTAGCCTATCCTCGATCTCAGCGCAAGCTCCCTACATAACTCTCGGCCGAGTTCCACCCGACGCGGTCCCCGCGTTCCAGCAGGTGACGCGTGTTGTGGGCCTTTTTGTAAACGACCCGTCGGTCGACCCTCCGCCACCCAGTTTTGCTGTACCGATCCGTCAACGCCGTGGCGAATATTCCTACGCTGGGTTCTGCAACCACCGTGGGCCGGCTAACGCAACTCGAGCACGAATGTCACGCATGACCCTTCGCTACCCTCCTCCCGATCTCAACCCTGCTGAGGCACCCCTAATTGCCCTGAGCTGCCGCCCGCTCCAACTTATTCCGCTGTGATTCTTTCGAACCGTTGCCCCTAGCACACCTGTGTCGACCCCGATCCACTTGAATTCCGGACCGACTCGCCTGATAACCGTCCACGCCCCCCCACCCCTGATCGAAGTACCTGAGGCTTCTCCGGCTCAGATGTTGGCGTCCCAGCAGTGCTGTTTACCTATCCCCATTCGGACTCCGGCGCCAGGTCCTACTCCGCCGGCCCCGTCGCTTCTCTGAAGAAGCGTGTTGGTTCCCCGACATTAAGCCTGCCCCTCTCCACGTCTCTCCAGCGAACTCGGATAAAGCACCATTCTCCCCGAGGTTCGCGGTCTCCCCCCACCGTCCACCCACCCGTACGAAGCAACTCCCGCCCACCGGGACGCCCCCGCGCACCCGGTGACACCACTCTGCAAACTCCGGCGACGCAAACCTAACCTGACGCCCCGGGCTCTTCCGTGCGACGGCTTTTTACTGAAAATTTGTTCATCGCAGAAAGTCTATCGCACACCGCGTCACATCGTGGACGCCTGGAGCCCGGACCGTATCG